TTCTTTCCCTTGTATTTAGGATACCTTTTTAGTTTAATTTTTAGAATATAAATTGGCTTAAAATTTGAAAAATAAAGATTCACACCTTGTGAAATTGCTGTATGCCGTTAAATCACGGCGGTGGTATAACGCGCACATTTGAACTGTCACAAAATAAGATGGGGTCAGTGGTAAAATATATGGGTGCACATTATAGCGACGTTGTTGGTGCCGGGTATAAAAACGATAGCTTTAAAAATATCAAAAGAGATGAGCATACACTGCCGCCGGTTTTTTTTTTATCGTCTATCAAATATCAGAAATACTGTTGTTAAAAGAAATGACATACCTTATGAACTAAAATAGTTCTAGTTCTAGAAATATATTATTTCAAAAGTCTCATTAGAATAATATTTTTAGAATAAATGACTAAATCCGGCGTAAAACTTTGACACACAAAATAAATCGAATATTGTATACTATTATTTCAGATTTCTTCGTTAAAAACGGGGTGCACGTTATACGATGAACATACCTGAAAATTAAAAAAAATGCAACTTGAAAGTTTAGGGGCGCGTAATACGCCGGATTTTACGGTATTTGAAATATCTAGTGAAAAGAGAAGCGAAGTTTCTGAAGTTCTATTTCAGGTATAAGCGTTTCAAATACCTAAATAATGCTGCACCTGTTTCTGACACAATTTATTGTAATGATAGGCAAAAAATAAGTTAATAAAGATGACAATTTATACGCGTTTCTTAGTAAGCAAAACTAAAATGATTTCTTAGACGATGACGATGTTTTTTGAAATCGGTGGAAAACGGTATTAAAACATCATCCCTTAGATTGAGATATGTTTTCTTCCTCCCCACGCGTGTTTTAGTCAAAAACAACAAAGAAAGTATCTCCTGAAGTAACCACAAATAGGAAACTGAATAATTTGTCTGTTTAAGAAAACATAGTGTTAAAATTTCAATATCATGTATGATTAATATCCAAACATCAGAAAGAATTTAAATTTATTAATTTTTCTATAAATCGGAAACTATTTTCTTGATTTCATACTTTCTCTATATTCAACGAAAGAAATTTTTTTTTTCTGTTTGAAGATTTCAAATGAAGAGAAGAATAGCAAAAAAAACTTGGTAATCACACGATATGAATAGCAGAAATCGAAAATAAACAAAGAAAAAAAATATAAACCCTTCAAGTGATTTTGATTCTTAAATAGAAATATAAATAAAAATTTAGATTCTGTCACACTCATTGTAAAATCATATAATAATCATAAGTTTCAGAAAGTTAAATTACATTTAAAATAGAAAAACCCATTACAATTCAGTAACTTGGTACTTGGATTGACTTAAACTTCAGTAAATCATTCTATTAAAAGGTTAAACAATTCTATAAAAATAATAAGCAGCTTTATTAAAATAAAATTGCAAATAAAGTTTTAAAATTAAAATTGAAAACATTTTAAAGAACATTAATTATTACTCTTGAATTTTAAGGAATTTTTAAGATTCAAGAGATAAACAAAATAGTACAATTATTGAGTTTTTACAAATTTGGAATTTTTACGCATGTATTGTTTATTTATTTTATCTTTATATTTATTATGTAATTATATTTTTATTTATAATACATTTCAAAGTTACACAATAACTTTTATAAATATTTGTCACCTTTTTAAACTTATTTTTATTATGTAGTTTAATTTTATACATATATATATAGAGTCTTTTTCGTATATTTATTTTATTCTTACATTTATTTCTTATAACCTCTTAATTAAACTAACTTCCTTTTTACATGATTTTATTACCTATTTCACACATATTTTAATTATTATATTATCATTTATCTATTTATTACTTAATTTATTAACTCATTTATAACGTTATGCTTTATTTTCAATTTTGAATACAGTATACAATTTTTAACATCATTGCATAGTCAAAGCGAACTGTCAATGACCTTATCAAACTTTTATTTTTTCCTTACTCCAATTTCATTAAAAGTCTAAAAACATAATCATGCACATTAAAAATACAGAAATTTGATTCAAAACATAAATACATGAACATTTACCCATTTTGAAGACTGTCTATCTCTCTCGGCTGGCTAAGCTCTTTTGTGAATAGAATGCCTGAACATCTCAATCTATTTGTCTTTAGCAATTAATGGGGATGATTCGTCGAAAAATCACTTGACCGTATAATTCGGTATTAAATAGACGTTGTCATGACAACCCAAAAGTGACTGGCCACCACAGCGTTGACAATTACGTATTAATGAATGGGAATTTCATGGTGAAATGCTTTATGCAAAATAACAGAGATTCCAATTTAGAAAATCATAATTCATACTTTTAGTTTGGCAATGAGTTTGAATGCTCTGTATGAAACGAGATTGAAATGTGACGTCATATGCACTAAAGGAAAGAGTTTTAAAATATTTTTACAATAAGTGAAATTTCTAAAACTGTAAATAATATAAGAAAATACCGTGGATACGAATCTACTTTCAAAAGCATGCTGTGTTAATATAGCATTTTAAAAAGATCTCTTCCTCAACGGATTGGCTGTTTATTAAAGTCGCAGTACACACACACACACACACACACACACACACACACACACGCACACACACACACACACACGAAGTGACATAGCTGCCCGTTCTGGGAAACAACCATTCCTGCAATTGCTTTTCTTGTTCAAAAATCTTTTTCAATTCCTACTTTAGTTTATTCTCTCTCTCCCTATATATATGTTACCATGAAAGTATGAAATGCAAGCATTCTATAGAATGCATATGCATTGTATAGAGTGTTGGACGTTTTTAGGCAATGTATGAACTATGAGATTTATTGCATACTTTGCCTAGGCATTGTATAGAATGCCTAGGCATTGTATAGAATGCCTAGGCATTGTATAGAATTCCTAGGCATTCTATATAATGACCAAAGCTCCTTAGGCAACGTATTAAAAAGTTCATGATAAGGTCATTAGATAAATGACATAAGTTACTAAAAGTAAAAATGTTATTCTGACAAAATAATGAGAATGCATTAAAAAAATTATTCAAAATACGTAAGGTAAAATGAAGTTGTACCAAACAAAATATATGTCTTTCTTATAAAGAAAACAAAAATATTATTTAAAAAAATTAAGATTAACCTACTTGTTGCAACATGATAGGCTTGAATGACACTTTGAATTACATTTCATTAAATTTTTCCCGCAAAGATAATTCTTATGTTGGTACTTTGTTTTATAAATACATTTGATGAATCTTTGGCCACTTCCATTGGATTGAGCAATTGAAACTGATAGGAGAAGAATTTCGTGGTCAGGAGTATCTTTTAATTCTAAGCAAGTTATTAGGCCACAAAGTAAATTGTAATTTCGCATATACTTGTTTTAAAATTCCTTCAGAAATTCCATGTAGATAGAAACCTTTCGTTCTCATTACACGCGCCAATGTATTGGCATTCGGCAAAAAATCCCAGGTTTCACACAATGTCTTTTTTTAAAACTAATTTTTTGTCTTTTCTGGCAGGGTTCACAAAGGGGGATGCACAGTTCAATATCATAACGTGTAACATTTCCGAATTTGGCTGAAAGTTTTTTTCAGAATTCTATCAAGTCCTCAGAATGTATGACGTAATACTGCATAGCAGTGCTTCTCCATCTTTTTATTTTCCGACCGGTCAAACCTTGATTATTATATCGCGGCCCACTGAGGGTGGGACGTTGATTATTTAAACTTTAAATTGTTTTGATTTAATTATTTAATTGTATTTAAATATATGCCTTCAGAATAAAATTCAATTCCACCAAAAAATAAATATAAAGCGATTTTGCATAAAATATAACATGAGTTTTATGAAAAATCGCACAAACAAAAGAGAAATACACCCCAGTAAATAAAATAGAAATAATTAAATGCTCCTTAAGCGGCCCTATACCATTTGATCCACGGACAGGCGGTTGAGTACTACTGTTGTATGGTACTGACACCTTCTTTAACAGGTTAAATGAGTTTACTTTTATTTTCTACAAATATCACATAATAACTATTCAGAAACCCATAGCCCCTAGGTTCTTTCTTAGTAGTAATTTTGGCATTTTGCGCAACAGCTATTAACTTCTTGTAAATAATTTCGGAAAAGAAAAACTTTTTTCTTTTTGCAGCATTAACTCGAATTTTGGCCAGCTCGTCGACGAATAGTTGTTTCATGTGTATAGACCAGGGGTCGGCAAATTTTAGCTGTGGCTAGTCAAACCAATCTACCATTAAGAGTCAGCGTACCACACAATAGGGCATTTTTGAAACAATTAAAAAATTGACAAATTTGTTAAGTAGTGCAAAGTGACACTGAGAATTGTACCGCATGCCACATGTGGCTCGTGTGCCATAGGTTGCCAACCCCTACTCCTTCCATGACTCCCTACATGACCATGACTTCTACAGACCACAGCATGTTCCACCATTTTCATTCAGCACAGGAAAAAAACAATTTTTCGTTGAAATATTTTAAGAAAAATTGAGTATCTTGACACTCCCGAACAAACAGCAATGTGCAACAGATAAATTCTGAGCCTCAAGCACGCATTAAATGTCTCGTGTCTTGTCACGCAATAATCGAAACGAATCGGAGATTTATTTAATAATTTACCGGTTTCTCATTAGGCATTCTATAGAATGCCTAGGCAATGGGTGAAATATGAATCATTTCATGCATTGCCGGCTAGTTTTAGGCATTCTATAGAATGCAGGATTTCCTACTTTGCCGGTAACATATATATATATTTAAATTTTAAATCGTTAATAAAGTATTTTCTATTCATCCATTGAAGTTCAAATAGATTTTTTTAAACTTGTAGTGGATGACACTTGATGTCAATACAGTTTGTTTCAAATGTTCATTCTTTTATTAAATTAAAAAATGAATAATAGTAACAAACTAAAATAGAAGTCCAACAGCACATGTAGAAAAGAAAATTGTTCGTTGTGTCCCTGTAGCGCAATAGATAGCGCGTTGGACTTCTAATTCGAATGTCGTGGGTTGGAATCCCACTTGGGATGGCCTAATTTCTTTTTTACTATACTACTTTATTAGAATAATTAAATTTAATTCATGAATAAATAGTAACAAACAAAAAAATACCAACACCCTATATAGAAAGGAAAACATGAAAATTGCAAGGAAAATCGCTTTTTATTTTGTCCTTTAATATTGTGATTCTATCATATGTATGTATGTCGCAGGAAAGTGACGAAATTAGGAATTTCATCAAATACCTAAGGGATAGAATCAATTGATGGGAGAGATGTTAAAATAACGTCTCCTCTTCAAGGTCATTTCCATAATGAAAGTAAGTGATTTCATCAAACCCTGAACTGTTTCATTGAAATGATGAAATGAACTAGTCAGGATTGCATTGGCAAAATGCTGTCCAGGGGGGGAGGGGGTCGAGTCCTTGTACTTCCTAACCATACAGGTAGTACTAACGATCCCCTAAATATCAACCCCATATCTTTAAAAAAATGGCACCATAGGATGAACATAGGGATAGATTACCAGTCTAATTTTCTAATTATTTATTAATTAGTTTCGAATAAATAATTTATACTTCATTGACTATTGTTGTATTACTTACTTCTATGTTTAATAATGCACCATATTTGTTAAGCACTTTTAAACTCTTGACAAAAAAATTTCATCATTTCACTGGAACAGCTCAGGGATTCGTTCAAATCCCTTACCTTTATCAGGGAAATGACCTTGAAGAGACGTTATTTTAACATGTACCGTCAAGTGATCATTTCCCTTAAGGATTTGATAAAATTCCTAATTTCATCATTTTCCTGCGACATGTACACACTTATATGAATTGTAATTATTTTTAATAAAAAGTAACTAAAATAAAATTTTTCTTTGGTAATCTTAGTAGGAAATGACTTAATTTTTTTATATTACTTGTTGTGTATAAGGAAAGACAAGTTTTAATAGAACTATTGGTGACGGACCTCGTAATTTTAAACCACAAAAACAGTAAAGTAACGAGGACGACAACTGAGTTCCTCTCTTTTCTCGAATTCCGCCCCACGCTAACGTGATGCCTTCCAAACCTTGGCAGATTTAACGTGTGTATCGACCTCTCTATATGGCAGCTCTTTACATTTACCAGAATTATATCCGCCAATCTGACAGAAATAACATCTTCCACAAGTTTGTGAAGATAACCACTTAACCACTATAAGCCCCCGTAGTAATTATTAATGCTGCATTGTAAAGCAACACGAGGGCTAACGGCAAAGGGCACCGTAATTTTGAACCATGATCAAAAGACGTGGACGACACCGTAGCTTGTACTTCCAAACCAAGCCAATGTGAGGACTTTAAACTCGACATATTTATAGTGCATCAGGATTTCTGCATTGCAATGCTTCAGTGGCACCAGGACTCAATCTCGAGACCGTTACTTCTGAGCCAGTGGTCCGCAGTCACCAGGAAGCGGACTTTGAGTTCGAAAGATTTAACGTGCATCTGTCCTCCACACGGTAGTACTTCAGTGGCACCAGAACACGAACTCGGGACACGCCAGCCACGAGACCGTTACTTCTGAACCAGTGGTCCCCAACCCCCGAGCTGCAGACAGGAACTGGTTCGGGCAGCAAGGGAATATTAAAGTATTTCTATTTTATTTACTGTGGTGTATATCTTCCGGGTTTGTGAGACTTCTTATGGACGAGAGGATAACCGGGAACTGTGAGACGTCACCTAGCGCCTCACGAATACCGCACATGCTCAAAAAATCGTGAAATATTGATATGCAAAATATAAGTAATCAACGCCCAACCCCTAGCAGGCCGCAATAAAATTACCAAATGTTGGCCGGTCCACGAAGGTCAAAAGGTTAGGAAACGCTGATCTAGGCTAGCTCGACCACATAAGCCTCCTGTAATATATATATATATATATTATAATGGGGCTGCGAATTGGTTGTTAACTTTTGCAAACCTAGTACATTCCCCAGGAGCTGGTATCACTTTTTAGTACAGCAACATACAGGCGATACCAATTACCTCGAGTAAATTTGATGCCCATTTTCCTCTCCAGAAAGAGGCACCTGGGCTCTGAAGATGCGAACTTTATTCTAGGAACTTAACTTTGTGGAGAGCACTCAAGCCAAATATGCATTCAAGGGACTTTTTACATACCTCATAATCACACGACGTGGATGCTGTCAATTTTCTGCATCAGGAAAATCCACCGACTTGGGCCAGGGTCGAACCCGAAACCTTTGGTGCAGAAGACCAGGGACAAACCAACCACGCCACCCAGCCGGCGTCCCTGTAATATCAATTGTTAGAAGCCAATGTTAAAATGGTACTACACACAGTTTCTAGGCCAATAATTTAAAAGTAATATATAAGTTATGTTAAATTATATATATAAAAAATCTGAATGTAGATTGTGTTTACGTGTAATGTAAAGGTAAATGAGTTGTATGAATTTAAGAAAAAGAAATTGTAGTGAGTCATCTTTTGTAATGAATATATATAAAAGTTTATTTTTATTCAGCTGTGTAGATTGTGCGTAACAATTGTGTGGCAAAATTATATTCGTAACACAATATAACTCTTTATTAAACTGACTTCATCAGATACTGATGCCATAAACTAACTTCACTTAACTCAGTGGCGCGACAGCCTATGAGGGCCAAGGCCTACTGTGCTCAACTCAGCATACGAGATCCTGGTCCCTGAGTTCCATGAGCAGATGTTCCGGTAAATTGATCAGTCTCACACGAAACCTCCAGTGTTAAGTTCCCAAGCAAGCTTGGTACTCACTTATTGGCCCACTGAAGAGATGAAAGGCTGAGTCAACCTTGCTGAGCCCGGGGTTTGAACCTCTGCGCCTGTGGCGTGGAAGCGTGATTCACTAGCCATTCAGACACTCGGCTACTGATGCCATACATGTATTTAAAATATAAGGACAAACTCTCTCTAATTTACACTGTCAGGATTCGAGTAACATTTTCTAGTAATTCATTTCTATGATAACGATAAAATTTAAATTTTTAGCTTTAAATAATCCTCAACGCTTATAAAAACAAAACTATTGCATGCAACTGTATATAAGACACATTCCATATTAAGTAAAAGAATATAAATAAATTATAAATGCCTCAAAATCTTTTTTTTAAAAATAATTTGTACTTAATACCATGAAAAAAAGGCTTAGTTGAAGAAGCATTTAATGACAAAATCATTTTTAAAATCATCAATACGTTCAAATTTGCGTATAAATTTCAATAAACTTTTATTTAATTTAATAATATACAAGCTAAGTGAGTGAGGTAGGTAAAAGAAGCTCAAAATAGACAGAAAAAACAAAATTTGCAAAAAACTGTAGGTAAAAACCAAACAAATTCAAGAGCTAGAAAGTTGTCATGCATCCAAGCTCGTCATATGTCAAGTTGAATTCACGTCAGGTTAAAGCAATGACTGTTGACTTTTTCTAGTTGAAGAAATTGCAGTTTGAAGCATAAATCTCTGCTCCCTACCACGTCTATTAACGCCATTATGTACTAAAAAGAGAAAATGGAGTTCACTTTGTGAGGATCTCGCCTCCGCGCCTAAAGGTACGGGAGAAAGGGAAGGAAGACAAACCATGTTCACAAAATCACTTAGTTTATTTGCAACACAAACAACAACACAAGTTCGATCAATCAAAACGAAGAGATGCGCCCAATCGAAGCAATATGAAGACAATGAATGAGGTAAGAGAAGGCTTTAAATACCACAGTAACACTTACTTCATTTCAAGTACAATGCCTTCTTAGCTATCTAATCTATATTCAATCTCTAGTGACAAATCGTCTCTTTAACTATCACAATTATCAAATACTAAACATCTGCATTACACTATACATTAGATTAATCACTGTTCCGCTAGCAGCCTATCCTATCTCTCCCCCCCCTCACTTGAAAGCCTAGACTTTATATAATAGTCTTCATTTACATGTTAACATTCTCTTCTTCAGAGGGAGCGTTTTAATAAAATAGTTTTTAAAGGACCAAAGATTCGACAAAAAGATTTGTATGTGAGAAGGTAGCGGATAGAGCCGTCACAACTTAAGCATTTTAAATGCATGTACAGGAAAACTTTTGTAAATGAATTTGATCTCGTGTTAGAAGAAGTAAAACTAATAAAGCAGATCTTTCGAGGACTATAATGTTATTAACTGTCAGTACTTCTATTTCCTATTGTATGTACTGTATAATGTTTGAGTTAATGATAACATAGCATTTTGCTTAAGATCCACTGATGGGCCGATCGATAAATAAATGTACCATAATGTTTTTCTTTTTAAAATAGAAAAATCTCTTAGAAGAGTTTTATAATCCGAGATTGCTGGGAAATTTCAAAAGCATATATCCCCTTCTTTTTAAAAACCAAATTATTATATTTAAAATAACTCTAATAATGCACATTAAAGGAATAAATTTATATTTTGAAAGCTTAGTTCCATTAAAAATTCTGCTATTGAATAAGCAAAGAGAAAAACGAAGCTTATTTATTAAGTTTTATAGATACATAGTTGTGAGGAGTAAAAAAAGGTTACGGTTTTTTTTATAAAAAAAAATAAATTAAGCAAAGAAACAAACAAAGGGTCTATTTTCAGAAGTTGTACAAATTTAAAAAAAGTAAGGGGCTAATTCGAGAAAAGAATTTTATGGAGAATTTTATGGGATATTAGAAACACTTAAATTCTTAATATAAAGTAAGAAAAAGAAGAAAAAAACACCCCAGATTTTTTTAAAATTCTATAATAAAAGGAAAAGTTTTCTGGTAGATAGTATTGATAGTATTGTTGGTTGTATTTATAACCTCTATAATAGTAGAAATCCCTAAATACTTTCGCATAGAGAGGGACAAAATATTTGATGAACGGGTACTTCTTGAACGAATGCCTTTGCATAGTGATACGAAGACTTTCACTTACTATAGCATTTCCAGAATAATTATTTTCATGCACTACAATAAAAGAAAGACGGAAGTATATGTTGAATGC